CGCCATCTTGGACATGCGCAAATCGAATGACTTAGGGGGGCGCTAAGAGGCAAGGGGGGCGGCATGGGGGTGCTAAGAGACAAGGGGGCAGCAGAAAAGTGCTGGAGGTGGGCTTGTGCAGTGTCGGCCATTCCTCTTCCGGGTTCACAACCCAAAGCTCAGATCATTAGACTAGCTGGCCAGTGTGCATGCATGCACCAGAAACTGAAAGTTTATTTCCTGCCGCGCGCATGCCCACTGGGCAGCTCCTCTTACCACACATGTGAGGCTGAACTGTTGGATGCTTTCTTATTGCTCTCCTTGCTTGCTATTGGTCGCTGCTTGCCCAAACCACCCAGTCCAGGCCCAGCTGCTCTGGTCCTCGCCCACGTGATTGCCATTGCCTTCCTAATTTTTGGTAAGTTGCAGGTGGGCTGCCGTGGGAGGTGAGGGCCTTGGGGAGTGGCATGGCTGGCTGGCTGCTGCTGTTGGTGCTGTGCCGCTCAGGAAGGAGGAGGGCTGCGGTGGGGGGGGGCCCGGGGAGGGTGGCAGGCCTGGCTGGCTGCCGCTGGTGCCATGCTGCCCAGAATCAAGGTAGGCTGCCATGGGGGGGGGGAGGCAGGCCTGGCTGGCTGGCTGGCTGGACACATACTAGCCATCCCGGGAAGGCCTCTGGTGACATCAGGTTCAGCGGCAAAGCTCTGAATGCCTCTTTCTTACCGTAGTAAGGGGACGGGCTGAGGTGCAAAACGTCAGCAGCTGTTGCGCTGCCGCCTGCACTGCTTGCTTGGAGCTGGTTTGGAAATGGAAAAAAACGCAGCCGAATTAGGTGGGACACGCCCCACCCAGATCCTCCAAACGGGTCTCCCTACGGTAGCCTCCCCGCTGAAAAGTGCTTCCCGCTTCTCCTCTACTTGCATGCTGTTACAGGCTCTGTACCCAGGTAGCGGCCGGTGGCCCTGGGTAGTGGCATCTTGTTGGTCTTGGAGGGTGCAGAAGCATGCAGGTAGAGAAGCAGGAAGTGCTTTTCGCACCCCCAGCTCATTCGCTGCAAGAATGAGTGGGCGCTCAGAAGAGCGGGCTCCATTTGGGTGGGCGATCACTTTTGGGTTGCGTAGTTCAGCGGGGAGGCTACCGAAGGGAGACCTGTTTGAAGGGAGCTGGGTGGGACATGTCCCGCCTAATTCGGCTGCATTTTTTCCCTTTCCAAACCAGCTCCAAGCAAGTGGTGCAGGCGGCGGCGCAAGAGGACCTCGTGAACACCAGAGGGAGGAGCAATGATTCCCAGCGCTCGCCTCTTTCTTCCCTTCCTCAGTGGGAGGAGTTACAGTTGTTCCCACTCAGGTTTTCCCTGGGAAGGCTAACTTCTCCAGCGGAACGTTAGGATCCACAGGTGTCAGGCCGCTTCATTCTATCCTGCTGCAGAGCTGAGCCCCTTTCTTTGTTTTTTTTTGGGAGGGGGGTCCTTTAAGAAAGCTGTGGAATTATGTATTCACGTTTAAAACAAAGCGAGCGATCCCAGATGATCAGATGGGATCTGGAAGACAGAATCAAAAGCCAGCTACATTTCAGCTGGATGTGTTGTGCGGACGCAGCCTTTGTAATTTTTAAAAGTAAAGCTTTTACTACTCACTACAGCTTGGCCAGCAAAGCAGGACTATACGAACCATCATTTCACATATTGTGTTAATCCACCCACGTTTCAAGCTAATCATTATCATGATGTCATCACGCTGGATACTCGTATGTGTGCGTATCTGCATGTGGGCGGACCTGCTTGGAGATGGATAGAGGAGCGGTGTCTCGGTTCCTAAGACCATCAAAAATGTGTGTTTTCCGATGGTCTTAGGCGACCACTGTGAAAGGCTCGTTCGACCCCTAAAGGGGTCGCGATCCACAGGTTGAGAACCGCTGTTCTTGGTGTTTATAGATCTGTTTTCTGGTTATCTTTTTCAAGCTCTTCTCAGGCATTGATGTCAGGTTGATTGGTCTGTAGTTTTGTGAAAAGTTTTCCCTTTTTGGAAGATGGGCGCTACATCAGTGTTCTGAACCATGTCACTCTGGAAAGGCAGGGTTTAAGTAGCATTATTTATTACTCACTTATCACAGTGTCAAATGAAGCACCAATCGTGCCAGTGAAAATCCTCTGCCCCCAGTCTGGATTCCCCTGCTGTAAAAAGTAGGTCCTAGCTGACCATGAAGCAAATTGAAGTAATGATACCCACAAGTCCAGAGTTCCAACAACAAAAGCACAATCCGAAAGTCAAGTCCAAAGTCCACAAGGAAAGTCTGAGGTTCAGAGTCCAAAAACACAGTCCAAAGTTCAAGAGGCAGGATCCAGCAAAGCTGGGAAGATACACAACAAAACAAACGTGTGTTCTCAAGAAACACACTTTTACCCAGCATCTAGTTAAATCACCTTTCCACAGCTGTTCCCTGTGAGGAGGGGTGGAGCTGCTTCCTCTCAAGCAGCCTTGCTGACCTCCTCTGTGCCTCCCTCTGGTCTGCTTTCCTCACCCGTGGATCGATTGGAGTAGCGGCTCCTCTTAATCAGAGGTGGTCTGGAGACTCTCATCTCTGCTGGCCGTCTGTAGCTGCTTGTTTTTTTTTTACTTCCATGCCTTGCCAGTAAGCATGGTGTTTCCTATTGGTGCTGCATCCATGTATTAACCAGGTTCAATTGTGCTTTTTAAAAAATAGCTATTGAGGACTTTTTGGGATGTTCTGTTGTATAGGTAGAACTTGTCTATTTGTTCCCTGAGCCTTCAAAGTTACTATAGCACTGTAAAGGCACATATACACCTGGTCCACAAATTTGTGGTCATAGTAGCACATGTTCAGTGACTGCACATTAGCAGTTGCTGTGGTTATGAAGGTGCAGGAAAAACAGATGGACCTATTTGGGTTCTGCCAACCATTGCACATATACGATTGCCACTGTATCCCATACTCATGATCCCCATTTATGACCTCCCCAGCTAGTTTCTGACAAGCAACTCAGTGGAGATACCAGCAGGAATGTCAGGTCCCATATATTTCTATAGGGATGCTGTCATTCTGCGGGGAGGCTTGGGGGGAATCTCTGTATGGAGTTTCTGTTTCTATTTCCTGCTTTGCTTTGCTGTAACTTTCAGGGCCTTGGGAGGAGGGAAGGAACATGCCTCAATCCAGGTGCCTTATCTCATCTCTGGAGAAGAGCAGCAGCGTTGCCTTGGAGACCGGTGTTTATCACCTCCTCAGCCTGAGTTTCTCATAATATCTTTACACCTCGGGTGTGATGATGTATTGGACTTTGGGAGGGACTCCCTGTCTGCTTTGCACTGATTTAATTTGCACTGATTTAATTTACTCTTTTAAGCGGGAAACTTAATTCCTGCCTAGATCTCTTGCTATCACAATCTTCCAATAAAAGTTTCCTTTTGAAATGGCTTTTATTTCAAGAGTTCTGCTTTCTTGAGAGGATTGGCAAGGCAGGACCTTACAAGGAATTTGCAAGTCACGGTCATTTGAAATTGCCTTGAACAACCCACAGTGATTTGCTTAACAACTGCAGAGGAACAGATATAAGTTGGCACTCTCATGTGATAACATGATCATGATCAGGCTGCTTAGTGACCAGGTATCAGTCTCAATTGTGGTCAGTAAATGAGGACTGCTTGAATTGGGATGTCTCTAGATAGGTTATGGACAGTATTTTCTGCCTATATTTGGATCTGAAGACTTCCATGATTCCATGAAACGGGTGCTTCAAATCTTGCAGAGGCCTTAGGCATCATTTCATCAATTATAGTCCCACATTTCTAAAATTATCTCAGAAGGTTTGACTGTGACCATTTTGGAGTATTTTTTCAGGTTTGAAAGACATGGATTTTTGACATATATACATTTGTATGTGTCTGTATCTGTTTTTCTCTCTGTGTGCATATATCTGCAATTAGATAATCTATATAATACCAGCACTTCCAGATATATTTGAGGATAAGCCTTTGCACTGTAAGAATTTGTGATTGACCCAAATCAACAAGAGAATTTCATGATTGAATAGATATTTGAACTTGGACCTTGGTTGTTTTCCATGTGTCAAATGGATCATGATTAATGTAAGACGTTATTCAAGCAATGTGGCATATTCGCTTTTTCATTGTAGCATAATTTTTTTCTTTTTTTACATTTTCTACAATCACTTTATAAACAATTAACATTACACTTTTCTTTGAATCCCATAGACAAAGAAGATGGCAATAAGAACACACTGGAAAACTGATAATAACAAGCAACTTTGAAAAGGAAAGAAAATCAAGCCAGAAATCAAAATATTTTCCATTTCTTTCACACAATTCTCCTTCTCCAGCAGCAGATAGACAAAAGAGATAAAATTAAGAAAGATTTCAAACTGGAATAAGTAAATTATACAGAACTCAAGCATACATTACATGAATAGTCAAGGGAGATTATTTTTTATTCAGAAATAGAGGGAAATATCTGGCAGTTACTGGGAAGGAAAAAGGTCATTTGGAGAGTCATGTAGGGCAGACAGAGAAGCAGGCCTCACTCTGGGAGGAAAAAAACTGATTTAATCAAAACACCACTAAACAATGGATCACATATATTTTTGACCTCAAGAATATAAGTGTTGGAAAAGCTCCATAGATGCGCCTGTTGTGGGAAAAGCACAGGTTCTAAATCGCAGCTGATTATGTACAAGGAGATCCACACAGGAAACAAGTTTTAAAAGTGCTCCCAATGTGGTAAATGCTTTAATGAGCATGGGAACATGGTGTTACATCAGATGACTCACAACATGTATTAGTATCCAGACTGTGTGAAAGTTAAATTGGAAATTCCCACCTCATGAGACAACAGAGGATTCACATAGGAGAGAAATCTTTTGAATGCCCTGATTGTAAAAAAGTTTCAGTCAACATTCCTACCTGGTGAAACACCAGAGGACTCGCACAGGAGAGAAACTCTATCAATGTCCTGATTGTGGGAAAGGTTTCAGTAACAATTCCAACTTGGTGATGCAACAGACGATTCATACAGGAGAGAAACCCTTTGAATGTCCTAACTGTGGGAAAAGGTTCAAAAACAATTCCAGCCTGGTGACACACCAGAGGACTCACACAGGAGAGAAACCCTTTGAATGTCCTGATTGTGGAAAAGGTTTCAGTAAAAATTCCAGCCTGGTGACACACCAGAGGACTCACACAGGAGAGAAACCCTTTGAATGTCCTGACTGTGGGAAAGGTTTCAGTCAGAATTCCAATCTGGTGAAACACCAGACAATTCATACAGGAGAGAAACCTTTTGAATGTTCTTATTGTGGGAAATGCTTCAGTCAGAATTACCATCTCGTGATACACCAGAGGAGTCACACAGGAGAGAAACCCTTTGAATGTCCTGACTGTGGGAAAGGTTTCAGTCAGAATTCCAACCTGCTGATGCACCAGACGATTCATACAGGAGAGAAACCTTTTGAATGTCCTGATTGTGGGAAAAGATTCAAACACAATTCCAGCCTGGTGACACACCAGAGGACTCACACAGGAGAGAAACCCTTTGAATGTCCTGATTGTGGGAAAAGTTTCAGTCAGAATTACCACCTTGTGATACACCAGAGGACTCACACAGTAGAGAAAGAGTTTGAATGTTCTGATCGTGGGAAAAGTTTCAGTAAGAATTCCAACCTCATGATACACCAGAGGACTCACACAGGAGAGAAACTATATGAGTGTCCAAACTGTGGGAAAGATTTCAGTACCAGGGCTAGCCTTTTAAATCATGTCCTTATGCACACAGGAGAGGAACCATTTAAGTGCCCCGAGTGTGCATTGTGCTTCAGGAAACCTTCCAGCTTTATCGCACACAAGAAAATGCACCTGAGGCCCAAAGTGATGAGTGTAGAGAAGGCTTGAATTTCATTTCAAATGTCCCATTGTAAGTTCAACTGAGAAATTGACTTTTTAATTTGAGTATAAAGAATTTGCCTGATTTTTTGTCATCAAATAGGTCATGGTATTAGATGGGAAGGAGAAAAGAAAAAAGTGGAACATGTTAATTTGATAAGGACTGTTTGGCCATTAGCAGCAGAAGTTGCTGGATATTTATTTTTGCAGAAATTGTAGAAATCTGTAAAAAATCTTCTTAGGAGTGTTCTTTCCATTTTTATCATAACAAATGATAGAAATGTCACATGCAGAGGCCCTGCCTTCTCCCCAGGTGTCCTCAATATTTTCAGTCCCAGAATTCCCAAGCCAGCATCTTTTCAGGATAAGAGCACTAAGGCTATAGTTAAAGATTGTGACTCCTCATATAATGAGAAAACGGGAGGAGAAGACAAATACTGTATTTTGGTGTATAAGGCGCTCCAGAGTATAAGATGCACCTTATTTTTGGGGAGGAAAAAAATTCTGCCTACCAGCATCCATCAGTATTCATCTGGCTAGCGTCCTTGCAGCAAATAGCGAACAGCCAGGTCAGCTTCAGCACATTATTGCAGCCTGATTTAGCATGAGCAGCTGATTCCTGGATGGATCGGCCTCCCGGAATACCCCCAATCAGCTTTTCCAGGCTGCAGGGATTGCTACACACCATCACCATCTCCGTGCCTTGTGTTTTTGGCCTCTCTGCCTCACATTTTCAACATCTAAATGCTCCTTTTCAGACCTGTTCAAGGCTGCGTGAATCACCAGGTCATATCGCCGCCTTTGTGCATCGCATTTTCAGCCTCCACAGCCCTTATATGGCCTCTGCAGGTCGTGTTTTTTGGGTGGTCCCAGGCTGCTGATCCTGCCCAAGAATGCGATGTGCAGAGGCCAAAAATGGGGTGTGCAGAGCCCAAAAATGTAATGCACAGAGGCTGAGAACACAATGGCCAAAGGGTGGGGCCGGCGTGTGGGTAGGGCTTCATTCAGAGGTGCCTGCCTCCTTGTTAGTCTTTGATGGCTTGGGTGTGAGAGCAGCACCAAGGGTCTGACATTTTGTGGTTCCCCCCTTGGTTGGGAAATGTGAGAAAAATTATATAGTAAATAATGTTTCATTTCTAAAACAGCTTTGCATAAGAATCATGAATAGATTTTGAGAGAAAAAAAGGGAAGTGTCAGCATTTATGTAAACATTGAGACAAGGTAATCCAACACTCTTCCCAACACATGGGAGGTGTTTCCTGTTTTTCATTTCTCTCCCAGAGCGCCTTAATTTTTTTCAAACATTTATCCTTCATAGAGAGAGAGAAACATTATTTGTAGGAGCGAAAGTGATGTTTTAGCTATGCAGATAGATTATCCTGATTTTGCTGGGATTGGAAGACACCAAAGAATTCCAAGATTGTTCATTTCACCAGCACAATTCAAACAGACGGGTTAGGGTTAGAGAAACCAAGATGTAACTCAGTGGTCTGTCTGGATAATCACAGGACTTTCCATGACTGAGTGGAGAACACAAACTGTATCTCCCTGCTCTTAGTCCAGCACTGTCACCCGCTCTACCCTATGCCCAGAAGCCCCAGTGCACAGACTAAAGAAAATATCTTGGGAGATATGCAAACTCCATTACTAAAGAGATGAGGGGAAAACATCTCCCCAAGTCCTCAGCATATGGATCCTATTTAGAAGAGACTCACAGAAAACCTCTCTAATTCAGAGGAGTATAAGAAGGTGGGAGAAGGTACAAGGAAGATACTTGTGTCAGGGAATTGTGCAGCCTGTGTCCAAATGGAGTCAGAGACCCTGACAAGAACTTGTGGCTTTATATAAATTAATATATTTACAGTAAATAAGAGAGGCAAACAGGAGCATAGTGAGGTAAAATCAACATGGCAGGAACATCATCAGATAAAACAGAGAGCACACAGGGCAAAAAGGCGGGAAACAAGGAAACTCCCCCTTTTCACTCAAGGCAGCCAATCACAGTTCAGATTGCCTCATGCAGTAGCCAGTTCTCTTCAATCAATCAGCTGTAACGGTGTGTTCTGACTACACAACCCCCACTGTTCCAGTTATAAATTTAAACATCTTGACACCCCTCTAATTTATAGCTGGACAGCATTTTAACCATGTTGTTTCACAAGATCCTTTAAGAACTACCAAAAGACAAAAAAAAAAAAAAAACCCTAAGAAATAACTGGGTTTTTGAAACAAAGACCATTTTGCAAGTTAATCATATTTTATGTATTTTAATAAATAACATCAAGCTAATCTTTTGCCAACTCAAAAATGAATCTGTGGGGTGTGAGTGGTCTGTTCTAGGGAGAGGGAATAATTGGAATTGTGCTGGTCACAAACTAAAGTGGAAATTATAATAAGTTGACACGTGATTGAGGTGCTTCTACTCTTGCTTATCTCTTCTGTTCATTTCCCTCACAAAGCATCCCTTTTCTTGTTTGCCCTACTATTTTGTGGGTTCCTTTCCTCTGATGTGACAATCCCAATCTCACAGCTGGCATCCCCCCTGCCCATCCTGTGTCAGGCCTGGAAGCCATCTTTTGCCTTAGGCCTTCAGTCCTGCCACATTTACTACTGTGGGAAACTGGGAGGGGGGATTGGATGGAGCAGGGGTGATGTACAGTCATAATGACATTCCATTCTCAGAAAGTCAAGGACATCTTGCCCTGCACCTGGAAGGCTAGACCTGGGAGGCATCTTCAGTTTTTTTGGTGGAATATTCTATTTTTATTTTTTAAAAAAATGTATTTTAGAAATACATTTAAAATAAGTTTAGAAATGGTAGTAATTGCGAGAGGCATCTTGAAGTCCTTGTAGACCATGGGTGTCAAACTTGATCGTGTCACGTGACGTATTGCAACTATTTTTGCCTCTGTGGAGCCAGCGCAGACGTGGCCTCCGTGTGACTCATCCGGCCTGGCAACCCCCAGTTTAACAGGCCTGTAGTAGACAATCATTTAAATATGAGCCAACAGTGTACTGCAGTCACCAAAAAATCCAACGCAGTTCTAGGCTGCATAAACAGAGGGATAGAATCAAGATCATGTGAAGTGTTCCCCCCCACCCCCAAGTATAAAAATACAAACAACCAAGAAGATAAAATATTTAGGGATTTGGCTTACAGCTAAATGTTCCTCAATCAAGGACAACTAGGATAAAATTCTACAGCAAATAAAAAAAGACCTAGAAAATTGGAAAAACTTACAGATCTCATTTTTGGGGAGGATCGCTATGATGAAAATGAATATACTGCCAAAAATACTATTTTTGTTTCAGGTTATCCCAATAAAATTAGGGATTTTTTTTTTTTTTTTTTTGAGGCTTTAAATACAATAGTTGCTAAATTTATATGGCAGGGGAAAAGGCCGAGAATTAACACTCAAACTTTTACAAGACATAAAAAGTGGGATTAGCACTTCCAGAATGGGGACTATACTACCAACTTTTATCTTAATCTGGTTAAAAGATTGGATAGAATTAAAAAATAAAAGAGTTTTAGCAATAGAGGGGCACGACCTACAAGTAGGATGGCATGCATTGCTTTGGGATCAAAAATACAAAATACAAAGCTACTTTAGAAGGCACATACTAAGGAATGCATTGCTACAAATCTGGCTAAAAAGAAAAAAACAGCATTATGCAAAAATACCAATGTGGATATCACCAATGGAAGCATTAAAGCACCCAAATTTAATCGAGATGGATAAGATAATTAGGTATAGGGATGTAATAAAAGAACAACGAAATTGGAAAACAAAACAGGAATTGGAACAGGATTTAGGTAGGGAAATTGATTGGTGGGCATATACACAATTCAATCTAAATATAAAGAAGACATAAAATTATATGAAATACAAAATGAGCAGCATGACCTGGACAAAATTATACAAGGGACAGGAGAGAAATTAATTAGCAAGGTATATAAATTTTTATTGTGGTACAAGATGGAAGACGAGGTAGTTAAGGAAACAATGATTAAATGGGCAAAAAGTTTTAATTATAATATAGAACTGGAGAGATGGGGGAAAATGTGGCAAGTAAATGCAAAATTAACTATGTCTGCGGCATTCAAGGAGAACCAGTTGAAGATGTTTTAGAGATGGCACCTCCCGCCGGCAAGGCTTGCTAAGATGTTCCCGAACAGCTCACCAATATGCTGGAAATATAACAAGGTTTACGGAACACATTATCATCTTTGGTGGATATGTCCGGCTGCAAAAAGTATTGGGCCAAAATCAAGAAATGGTTGGAAAAAATAACGGATCAACTGATTGATTGGAAACCAGAGACATTCTTGTTAGGAATATTTACTAGAAATTATACCAAACAAATAAAATACTTAATCTTACATATAATAACGGCCGCAAGAATATCTATGCACAAAATTGGAAAAAAGAAAATACACCAACAGAGGAAGAACTGATAAAGAAAATTTTAGATTGTGCCGAGATGGACAAATTAACAAAGGAAATTAAAGAAAAGTAAGATACAGAATACTATGCAATATGGAACAAATGGTACAACTGGCTGGAGATTAGAAATAGTGAACAATAAGGGGAGAAATCATAAGCGTAAAGTTAATGTATAAAGTGTATAAAATCAATATTATGAGTGATAGAAATTATAGAGTAATAAGGGATAATGGGACAATAAGGATATAAATATTATAAGGGAAAATGGGAGAAAATGTAAATATTAGAAGACTACCGCTATGAAACAGTTGTAATAAGGGAATCTACGTTATGTGTTTTGTGTTTGTTATATTGTGTTGTTTTATAAATAAATTTAAAAAAAATCATGTGAAGTGTTAATGCCACTTTATAATGTCTTGGTAAGGCCACACTTGAAATACTGCATCCAGTTTTAGTTGCCATGATGTAAAAAAAGATGTTGAGACTCTAGAAAGAATGCAGAGAAGAGCAACAAAGATGATTAGGGGCCTGGAAGCTAAAATATATAAAGAAGGG